TCCGCTTTCGCCATGAATGGTGCAACTACCGCAATGCATTTTATGACCGCAACGTGCCCACGGCAAAGTGTTGATGGAAACATTATTAGAGTCCATGCGACACAAAATGGTCCCATGGCGCGAATTTTGACAATTGATTTGGCAAAAGACTTGGTTACTCACTTCTGTTGTTAATAACCCTGATAATAATTACTAACTTCATGAGTCACTATAGACGTCTGACATCGTCCAACCGGACCGACTCTTACTTGTAAAAAGTCAGTGGCTAGAAATTCTATAGGTACCTACTTTCTTGTTACTTTCAGTGCCTATCTGTCAAGTCGTAATGACACAAGTCCGAGATCGAAATGTCTAGACTAGAGGAATCTAGACATTAATTCTCGTAAATGATGGCATTTCATTATCTAGGTAGGTACACCTATTACATAATGACAATGTTTGTCTGATAGCTTTTCACAAAACTATATTCAACCGATTTAGATGGTAGATGTAGTTCGAAGTCCGGAAATAGATATAGGACATTTTTTCCTTAGTTTTTCATAGAAAATAAATTCTTTCTATGACAAAAAAAAACTTACAAAGCAGGAAAAGCCGCGCATAAAAGCTAGTTAAGCAATAGGTAGTTCATTCTATCTAATAATTTCAAATTAGTTTTTACGTCTACGTATAGCGTATATTTTCATAATGATTCTAAGAAAACAACAAATTGATTACATTGTGGTGTTCCTGTTTGCGTCCCGATGAAACCCTAATGAGATTTATGTAATAATACATTTGTGTTCAAACAAATTGCTTTGGGTTACCGATTTTTTGTACATACAACGGCAAATCAAGCGTTCCTTAAGGATCAAGTACAAGATTTTTGTAGGAATGTACTTATCGCTTTTCCGCAAATAAGAATAAAGAAAACAAATGAAGCATAAGTTTCAGTAATTTTTAGCAATGGTCTTCCATTTTTACCAATAAATGGTGAAGCCACTTTAGGCAAAAAGTAAATCCCTGTGAACAATAATCTACAATGGCTATGATTGGACAAAATGAACATATTTGAAATCTATTTGTTACAGGCTTGTTTTATTAAATAAATAATGCCTTCCTATACATCGTTCTTCGATTGGAAAATAAATTGTAGAGTTTCAAATAAGCTTTTCCGTAGCAAATGGGAAAATATTTTATTGCTCATCATAATGAATAAATATAACCCCTTCGTGTCAAAATTCGTACTTTTCGTGAATATATGAATCGTTTATCAGCATTCGCTATACGATTAGAACGAAATTTCGTATTCCTAAAGAACGTCGAACACGATTGGAATTTCGCAAGTTAGATCATAAAACAAGCAGCAATAAAGCCAAATAAATCGATGTTTCGAAATGTGTTCCACTTTATTTGCAGAATTTCAATTTAATCTCCATTCTGTAACTCCAAACCAGCGGTGAGTTGATTCCAAGAATTAAGCAGTTTTTAACTACGAAAACTTTTTCAAAGACAGCAGTAATGTTTATTAAAAAGTTTCCTCTTCGAAATGGAAGGAATTCCCAATTTTTGTTTTGTTTATATTGTGACTAATGTAGCCATGACTTTTTGTTTTAAAACTCTTCGTTTCACTTAAAACTCCCATGCGATTGATAATAAAATATTTTTAGATTATTATTTACTTTAAAAGTCAATTGTTCGACAGTTCTAAACATCTTTGTCTTTGTGAGTTAGAAATATTTCTTGAGACTTTTTTCTGTACCACCAAGGCTAAGATCTCTCACTGCTTGTTTGTGTAAAGTTCTAGCTTTCATCCCAGGTAGCCTACAGTTTACAAAACATTAGTAGTCGTGTAACTTTATGCCCTTTTACAGGTGTGTGTTTTTCTTTTTCCAGAATATGCTGTTTGAAGCGTTAGTACCTCTACTTGGATGTGTGCTGGCTGTGCAATGCCGGGACAACAGCAAGGCTATGAAATCGATTCCCTCTATCACCAGCTCCCTAGTTAATCTCGGAAAGATGGACATTTCATTTCACTTCAATAATAAAGGTAAGCTATTTTTAAATTTTAAGAAGACTGACCTTAATTTGTGTACATTTTTGATAACTTGATAAACTCGGATTTTCTATGGTGGGAATCGAACCCTTCGCTTGCCGGGCGACTGCTAAATTCTCTATAGAAACATGCCAATGTATATGAACACGATTTTATTTTTCAGAGCCTATTAAAACAGACCAAAGTGTGCCACTCCACTCAACGTTTCTATTTTCAAAATCTGATCCAACTGCAACTGTAGAAGAGCCTTGCCCGTGCTCTGGGTTGAGAAGCGCCAACAATTTCCTCAATAAGCCATCGGATCTCTTGAACAAGATCCTCATGAGCAACGACCTCTTCTCTTTCAACAAGGATCCAGTATCTTCTACCTTCTGCTGCGGATCCCATGAGCATGCTCAAGAAGATGTAGTCACCTTCGAGTTTGGACCAAAAACAATGAACAGTCCACCAACCAACCTTCCTGGCTTACCCTTTATTTTTGAAAGTCTGTTCCCCAAAAAACCGATCATGACAATGCCTGCTAAGCCAAAAGCGGTGGAAATATTTCTGTTCCCCAAAAAGAAGGACCAGTTGTTTCCCATGAGGAATGAACTAAAAAAGGAAGCCATACAGATAGTTGGTGATAAGGAGATGAGGAACGATTTTAAAAGTCTAAAATTCAGGCCGATGATTCCTCTCAACCTGCAATCTTCGGTAAAAAAAGATTTGACAGCTCAAGAAAGGAATGAAACCAAAAAACAAGTCCCTAAAGAAGAGGCAGAAATTACAACTATTGGTAATTCTAATGCTCTTTGAAGTGAAAGAGAAATCGGAAATTTTTTGGTCATTTTATTAATTAAACTCCACCATAACTTACAAAGTTTTTTTTATACTTCATAGCCAATAAAAATAAACCGGCAACCTTTTCTCCATAATATTCAAAGACAGCTACAAAACTTACAAAGCCTAAAATATAATATCAACATAGAAATGAACGAATTTACACTCAAATACCACCAATTAGGACTCCACAAGCAATTTATATTCCATGCCCTACCACATCCATATTTTAAATCACATAAAATTATAACGAAGAGAATTCCTCCATTATTAAGCCCACACGGCATTCCAAACGAGTGAACACGTCATAATGAAGCAGTTGTCAGTCCCATTAGGGAAACACACGACTCTCGCTCGGGACCGGAACGTTGTTTGCTGAATACGGTAGGTACCTTGTCTAATTACAACATCGCAATCGCTTTACTTATTCCATTTGAGCTTATAGCGATTATATTTGAAAGAAATTGCGATTTCAATTTATTCTATTTGGAATGACGAAGCAGCAAATTATTTAATTTGTTAACTTACTGGTGAAAATATTTTTTCGACTTCTCCTTCCTACCAATCAGCCTTTAAAAGTCGTTTTAGACTAATATAGACGTTTGAATGAACGATGAATCAATCAAAATTTTCACTAGAACATGTAATTATCTTGATGATCCTAGGTAGAATATTAATTTGTATGTGAATATTACATTCCGTTACCCAAAACATTTTTGCTCTTTGCGTGCCCCCTGAAAATTTAACCTAGATTGATACGAGTTATACCTAAAAGAACCTTTCGTATTGAAAACAAATCTCTTTCAACTTTTCCAAAGTCGCTTAACCATAATCACTGTCTCATTGAAAGCGATTACGATAGATCTGACACGAACAGTTTGACACTACAAAGGCTTGACTGTTAAACAGCGTTGGGTGTTCGACAAATTACGCAGCCCTCCGATGTGATTGGTGGAACAGTCCAGGTTTTAGTAAACTCGATACGTGATTTGAATGGGAATCAGCTCGTTTGCATGCTGAGGGTAAGGCTCGATTTTATCTATGTCGATCCTTAATGAGGCAAGGTGGCATTTGTGCCTGTATTTTACAAAATATGAATTTTTATTTGTTGAATGAATTTTCCTTTCGTGTATAAGAAGTGACGTCACTTGATATAAGGAGTCTAATGCATAAAAGGAAACTCTTAACCATATCCTATTACATTATAAATCAATAAAGTAACAATGTTCAATGCTATCAATATTTTTCACTTTCATCATCATCAAGCAATTTAACCTTCACGTCAGAAGTACAACCCTCTATAAATTACTTCAGGTAAATGGAGGATTTGACCTATTCCCAACCTCAACATATTTGTATAATTTATTACATTCGTATTATACCTTAGTTGCCTTTTACGACATCCACGGAAAGTGGTCTAATCTACAGGTTATTTTTAAAAGGAATTTAAAAATGACTATGAAACCGCTTACTGTTTCTCTTTCCGTTGCTGCCTCTTCTTCTTGAAGGCGCGCTTGACTATGGTCTGGTATTGGTCTATAGTCAGCACGGAGGGCCGCTTGGCGGCGCTGGGCTCGTCCATCCCCTCCTCCTCGTCCCTCGCCTCATCGCAAAACCTCAGGCCAAGTTTTATTGCAAGACCCTTACCAATTTTTTTGTTCGTTCGTTTCAGCCAAATAACGTCCACTGCTAGACAAAGACTTCCTCCAAGGATTTCCTTAACGACTGGTTCTGCGCTACTCGCATTCAAATACTTGCCAACGATCTTCGCCAGATCATCAGTCCACCTTGTTACCAATTTACCAGGAGCAAAATAAGGAGGATTTGGTCTACACTATCCACGCTATCCAGTCGGGTTGAGGAGATGAGAATCGTATATTTATCTCACAGTTGCCTGTTACGACATCACAATCTCAGGGGTCAGGCTTAGCTATCGCTGTTTTATTGTAAGACCCATAGCAATTTACAAAAGGCTCATGGAGTTTGAATCGAGGATTTGGCATATACTCTCCACGCAGAACAGATGGGTTGGGGATGTAATTTTCATTGTCCCTTAGTGGCCTTTTACGATATCCGCACAGTGTGGGGGAGGTCCTTTTCTATTTTAATTTACAGATATTTTGGGATGATAACAATATAAATCACTTACTGCTTCTCTTTCCGTTGCTGCCTCTTCTTCTTGAAGGCGCGCTTGACCCTCAGCAAGAGGAACGCGGCGCGGTCTATAGTCAGCACGGAGGGCCGCTTGGCGGCGCTGGGCTCGTCCATCCCCTCCTCCTCGTCGCCCGCCTCATCGCACAACCTCAGGCCGAGCCATCGCTGTTTGGTTGCAGTTCGCGTTGTGACGCCGGAGGGAACGCACGTGTAATTTTTAGCAATGGCACATTTTCACGCGTCTTTTGTTTTTTTCAAGAGGTTTGATTGTTAAGTATTTTATACTTTCAATTGTTTTATTATTTACACGTTTTTTAAGAGGTTGGATCAGCGACTAATACACGTTTAATTGTTTTGACAATAATATTTTAACGTACTAATAAGATATCGAACTTTAAGAGGTTGGATTATAGACTAATTTACACGTTATCTATCGCTGAAGATAAATATACTAAGAAACTAACACTGAATTTACAAACTTTGGAAATATTTCACTGGCAAAGCACTACACTCACACACACCACCTGAAACAAAAAGAAAACACAATTAGGTAACGGTAAATAAAGTAGGTAAAGTTAAATCGAACAAGTTCTATTGTGGGCTCAAAGTATTTTAGGCAAAAAGTTTTCTATTCGGTTTATTTTTAGAAACGCTTGTAAGAATTTTCATTCACCGATAAAAGAGCTTAAAGTAACTAAAACTATTCATGTTATTTTAGAAAATAACGTCAATGAAACCGATTATAAAGTAGGATATTTTTTAACCTTTGCCAAATGATTAAAGTGGGTGGTTACAAGTACATAAACAGTTTTCTACGTGTAGAGACGGTTAACTACCATACTTTAATACTCAGTTAATAACCATATTAACTCTCGTTCATTTCAGATAAATGACGTCCACTGCTGGACAAAGGCCTCCCCAAGGATTTCGTCAACAACCTGTCCTGTGCTGCCTACATCCAGGCAGACTCTCACACATGCTGTATTTTAGTTGTATCACATTCAAATATGAACCATTTTGCAGTATTATGATAGGTCAAATTACAGCAATCAAAACTTAATAGTAACTTCCTAAAACAACGGAGAAATACGACGTTGAATAATTTATGGACTCAATCAAGGTCTATTAATAATAGTGCCAACGAACCTATCGGGAAATAGTTCCCAGTAGGATGGAATAGATTCTTAAGTTTAATAATGAATATTAAAATTTAATAATGTAGGTCTGATCTGATGAAGGCAGATTTAAAAACATAATATTAACCGGAAGACGTAGTGTGAGCAGGCCCTTCACTAGATGGACCGACGATCTTGTGAGGATCGCGGGAGGTGTTTCAGCAGTGACGCCATTTGGGTAAAACGAACAAACGAACGAATAAATCTTGTTGTCTTAACGCAAAATAAATAATAACAACAATAATGTAGAAAACCCATAACTCTGCGATCAAAGCAGTTACCGGCAAGCCAAGGGTCGTGAGTTCAATTGCCATCTGAGGCACTTTTTACCAAATTATCACAAAAACAAAAGCATTCAAGATTACTTGACCCGAATACTCAATATTTTAGGTGCGAAACGAGGAAAAACTTTACAGACGGTAATGCGATAGATCAAGCTCTCACTTCAAGCTTAACTGAGGCATCTTATTTTGTGGTAATAGATGCCATTTTACAGCAAAAATGTCAAGTTTCACGTGCTATCGACTGAAGGTTGGCAAATATTCAAACGGTGAACTTGGGTCGTTATCTATCCCTTGATATCATTATCCTTTTTTCCCGGAAGCGACAGGCGATGGTTCCTTATTCTTTTTTCTGCTCACAATACCATACCTTTTTACTTGATAGTTACCGAACTGACTTAAATTGCTACCTTCAGAAATTCTAAAAATATTAAGTATAAGCAGGCCTGTTCATCTCCGCGAGTTTACATCGAAAACAAAACACGCACGATGGCCCACCTACAGGATATTATTCGACAAGGCCTCACGTATACGAGCGAACATTGACTCACGCACGCGTATTCTTGTGTATGATGAAAGAAAATGGTGTACTAAATACTGTGCAGTATTTAACTGCCTAAATAATAATAAAAACACAGAATGTACTTTTTAAAGTTGCCTCAAGACACTGAGAGGTAAATAAGTAGTTAATATTATTCATGATAATTCATGCTAAATCATGTATTTCCTCCGCCATTTTCCGCAGTTTGGCACCTCACGTCACATCATTTTACCGAAGTCAGCCCTATAGCACAGTAGATATATGAGCTAAAGCAGTACGGAAACTTAGCCCTTTCGGCGAGTTAAATACCTACACTTCAACTGAGTGTTAGGGTTGGCACTCTTAATCTTTATAAAATAAATAAGGTTCTGACTTACTTATTTATTAAAACGTTTATTTAGGTTTTTTAATTATCAAATACCTAATGAAATAAATTAATTGACTAAGTAGTTAACCCTTTTAATTAGGTTCTATAATGATCGAATACATAATCGAATAAATTGATTAAGTACTATTAGAGGCCGGTAGAAGATATTCTATTCTCATAAATAAAATACCGGATACTTACTTTCACATAGCTATTGACTCACTTTAAATACAGTTCATCACTTAGTACAAAAGCGCGCGGAGCAAATTACTTTATCAAATAGAACACATAAATTGTTAAAAAGCGTAATAATTAAGTAATTTAAAAAGAACTATTACAAAATCAGATGTAAGCACTTTATTTAAAAAGTAATATTTAATCATTTTTACAATTCAGAATTATTACGAAGTTTAAAAAATGAAAGTTCTGGTTTTGAAGATGCCGAGTTCAAGCAGCCGTATACTACGCAATACACTCGTGGAATGTTTTTTAAAAATACAGCGGACAGTGCATGCAATAAAATTATTATTAAAAACAACGCGCGCGACACTCGCGACGGATGGACTGCGAGGTTCGCTTAGAGCTCGTGTAAAGCGTGCGTCTGTGTGCGTGAGTCTGATTTCGAGCGTTTGTATGAAGCTTCCGTACTGTTTGATTTATCTACTGTGCCTATAGCTTCGGCGTAGTGCCGATCACTGACGTTTGTCAACAAAATGGTGCTTGACTCTTGAGACAGGCTAAATTACACCATATTGTTAATGACATTGAGCATACATATTTTTTAATACCTTCGCGAAGTAAAACTTCTGTACAAAGTACTTATTATTATTCTGTGGTATAAGTAAGATGTTCGTATTTTCTTCAATTTTGATTATCTACGTACACACAAACCAAAATCTTCTGAGCTATTTCTTCACGCAAAAACTTTTGAGGATTTTGATAAAGCTTTAAAATCTCATAGCCACATCATAATAGAAGTCGCTGGCAAAAGTTGCTAAAAAAATCTGAAATATCCGGGGAAAATCTCCACTTTTCTTCTGTTCCAAACAATATTTTTGCCAACATCTTGCCCTATATTTCTGCAACGTATAAAACTGCACCGTATTTTTAAATCCACCGGTTTTATTTCCGCATACTTTGTGCAGTACTTTACTGCATTTACTACACAAGCCCTAAAATAAACCCAGGCTGGTACTTAGCGTGAAATGGATGTACCATGTTGGAAAATATTATTGCCCATAAAACGAATGCATCGAATTCGCGATCGAGCTGCAGATCGAAGCACTCGACTCTATTAGTATTTTATTGCGATGACGTGTGATGTGAGAGACATAAGAGAGTTGTGATTTAAAAGAACTTTAGTAATTCTGCCTTAGCTGACCCGGCGAACTTTGTTCCGCCTTAATGGCAATAAATAACGGGATAAAAAGTATCCTATGTCCTTCTCCTGGCTCTAAACTACCTCCCTGTCAATTTTCAGCTAAATCAGTTCAGCCGTTCTTGAGTTATAACTGGAGTAACTAACACGACTTTCTTTTATATAATAAGATTAGTAATCATACCTAGAATTAAATTAAATTAGATCGGTGATTTTTGCATTTAGGGCCGTTTCATCTTGTCAATAAACTTTCTGATACCTATAATGAATGAACTTAACTAAACTAATGAACATAATAACTATACTTTTTGGTTTTAGAGGTATCTGACTGTCACCTTTAAGGCTTCCACAGACCAAACGCGGGTCAGAAGCAGTGGGGGCCAGTTGCAGCGCGGCTGAGGCACACTGAAAGCCGCGCAGTTTCAAAGCATTTGCAACGCGGGCGGTTGTCAAAAATTAAATATTCGAAAACCGCTTTCAACGCGCTGCTACGGTGTGTCATGCTAATATGGCCGCCATAGTAATACAACAGCGCGGGCCCGCGCTCGCGCCGCTTCTGCCCCGCTCCCGCGCCGCCTGGTTTGTAGTTCGGCAGTTGCAGTGCGGCGCGGTTGGAGCGCGACCGCGTTCAAATTTGGTGTGACACACTTCAAAGAGTTTCTTGTATTACAACTTGCGCGAGCCCGCATTCAAACTGCGCTGCTACTGCCCCGCGTTTGGTCTGTGGGAGCCTTTAATGGTTAGGTGTGGTTGGCCGCTTATTCTACACCTAATCCTAATCTTATTTTAACTCTTCTGTACTAGATAACTGAAAGAAGGGAAACAAAGGAATTAAGGGAATTCACTTTTACTCAAAATACAACACATTGTGTTATCTCAAGACGTATCCCAAGTTTTCCTCATCTGTTTGAAACAAAAACCGTGCAAGTTCCGTGTCGCGTCCAATAAGTCTCGTCAACTCCTAGGGGACGTGACGGGAACACTGAACAATCTCCTGATTTTCCAATCCGCTTCTTGGAAAAGTTTTAAAATTAAAGAAAAGTTAGAGAATACGTTTCAAATGGTTGAAACTGCTTCGTTTTTATCTACGACTAGCTTTCCACCCGCGGCTTCGCGTGCGTGGACTACATTATCTACATAATATTTTACCCTATTTTTTTCCACAACAAAATTTAGCCTATGTTACTCGTGGATAATGTAGCTTTCTAATGGTGAAAGAATTTTTAAAAACGGTCCAGTAGTTTTTGAGCCTATTCATTACAACCAAACAAACAAACAAACTTTTCCTCTTTATAATATTAGTGTAGATGTGCCGTTTGTGTACCATTTCTTAAAGTTATCAAACCAAGAAAAGACTCGACGGAATAACTACTATAGAATTTGAATAGTTAACTTAAAGTAACTCAATGTTAAATTGCAACAAAACTTTCGACTGTTTCTTTTTATTTTTTTTTATTCAGAAAACCACAGATCTTTACAACAATTAAGGTTTATTAAGGTT